CGAGAACAAAGCAGTGAATCAAATTTGAAACAAACATTTTTCTGATATTTCGATATTGTAGAATAGCCGCTAACTGAGCTCCACTAATTCTGTGATAAACACATTTCATTTCTTATAAAATCTTGTCTCAAACTGTTTTGAAGTCTGATAAACTGCCTTGAGTGATGTCATGTGAGTCAGCGTCGGTTGGTGCTGAAGACTACAGGTTGGAAAAAGCAAAAAAAATAAATCTGTTGGCGTTTGAAGACTACGTGAGACCTTTATCTTCTTTTAGTGAATCTCTGATGGAACTGTTGGTGGTTGAATTGCATTGTGGGCAATGTAGGCGCAAAGGTTTGACAGGAAAAATGTGTGTAATAAAAACGAGGATGATATCTCCTGTGATTGTTTTTGTTTCAAACTGTCCATCGCAACTCTGACCATTTTATGAAACTCAAGTTTTCATGAGTTGCAAAGGTGAGAATTTTAGCTCTATGCTACCAAACATTTAGCAGCTAATAAAGCAACAGTAAAACAGTAAACACAGATTCTTTTAAAAACTTTATTCAGGCCAAATCACATTAAGATACATCTCAACTTCAGTAGTAGAGGAACAACTTCCTCCTAACACACAAATTAAAAGTGTTCAAATCCCTGATTAAAAAAAAGTTAGATGTTTAAAAAGGGCAGTACCGAAACAACCAGCTGATCCCTGATCATGTTCACCCGTCACACAACTATCAAACCTTTCGATCCGTTACACAAACGGAAATCATACAAATTCTTTAGATCAGTGCATTTAGGCTCTACACAAAATCTATTGCTATATCCTGTTTGATTGCAAAGCAACAGAAAACGTGTGCAGCACAATTTTTTATCTCCTAAAACTTGGATTTTTAAGCTTTTGTACTTGAACTTGTTGCTCCAGCGAAGGATGTGCTTATTACTTGGACTTGGCAAATCCCACCCTGTTGTTCTCCCGATCGAAGACGGTGTAGTACTGGCCGATGAATACGTCTCCCAGAATCCACAGGGGCCCGGCGGGGGCAGGGATGTCCAGACCCATGAAGCCGCTCAGGCACATGGTCTTCCCGGCCTGAGTTACCTGGATGATTGGAAGGAGAGAGACTCGCAGTCAGACACAGAAAAACAAACCAGTGGATCTGTGTGTGATCACTGCTCAGACAACAAACCGGCCCCCTCCCGGCTGAGCCAAGTCAAACAAAGCTGCACTTGTTTAGTTTTGTTATGACGCAACACGCAGTCACAGGGTTGCATTGTTACTGCAGGAGCTGACTCTCTGGCGCCCCCTGCTGGTCCGTAACACGCACAGTCTCACCTTGAGGATGTACTGCTCTCCGGTCAGAGTGTACAGCTGCCCGCCCAGTTTGAAGGTGATGACAGGCAGCGATGGGACCTTGTCGCAGTTCACCATGTACTGAAACACACAGAATACACTCGTCAATACACAGCTCGTTATTTTAACTGCAAACTGACACGACTTAGTGGAAAAACAGCTTTTATTTTGAAGTTAACATTCGACATTTGTATAAAAAGGCAAAAAGTAAATGTGTAGTGCAACCTGTTAGTTTAAGTGAAACACTGAAAGATATAATACTTATTTAACTTACTGGGCTGCAACTATCAGTTATTTTCATCATCAATTAATCAGATTATTATGTGATTAACTAACTTGAACTCAAAACCAACAGAGATTTAGTTTACTGATCACATGAGACAAAGAAAAGCAGCAAATCCTCAGTTCAGAAGGGGAAACAAGCGAAAAACAGTCAAAATAATTGGCATGAATTCAACTTCAACTTTTCGCCTCAGCTCTAAATCTTCTATATTAATATTTATGGTGAACTGAGTGCAGACAGTAAAACAGACTGAACTGTTTTTTAAGCATAAAAAAAAACCTTCCTTGTGATTCTATATTTTTCAGCAATCCAAGTCTAGGCTTTCATTAATTGTTCTGCTAAACACATTTTATAGTTAAATTATTGCTATTTAATTAAATTAATTTTAATTTAAAAAAGGATAAGACTGATGTTATTCTAGTTTTCTTTTTGTTATCAAATCCCATGAAAACACTAAAACCAACAATGTGTTTGTGCATCTCTCAAAACTCCCAGACTTCCTGTCTGATACTCATTTATGGGCAACACGCTCTCACCTCTCCCTGGACGAGTGGAATGGCTCCGATGGCCTTCTGCAGGGACTTGACCTCCGCCGAGGGCCCGGTGATCAGAGACGTCCCGGTGTCCACGATGGCCTCGCAGCCGCTCTTACACAGGCTGAGCTGGCTGCCCACCGTCATCCTGTCACACACACACACACACACACACATTGAATTCAAAGACCATAGCTTTATAGCGTACAGTCAACCTACCTGGACTCATAGAATAATAATGTCTCTGTGTCTAGAGTTTAAGCTCTCACCCGTCCATGTGGATCTGCCAGTAGGCCTGGCGGCTGATGTTGACGTAGTTGAAGTCTCCGCTGTAGTATTTGGGGTCGGTTCCTCCCAGCAGCAGCTCGCCGCCGGGCTGGGTGTCCGGGTTCCTGACAACAGAAGAGACGTGGACTCAAACGTCGTCGCCACAGACGGTGAACATCACGATCGGCTTTCATGGAGGAAGTTTAAGTTTTGTTTTTACCCAAATTACAAAATAAATATCTGGTTGTCGTTCAGGCGTTGTGGTGTGATGCCATGCAGACAGCTTTGGTTTCAAATAGAAAGGTTTTAAAATATGAGTTGCTGAAATGTCTGGAGTTCTCTTATAAACGTGGAGATGAAGTTGTTGGTTTCCCTCAAACGAAGTTTTCACTGTAGGTTTCAGATACTGATCATTATTGTTAATATAAAAGAAAACAGTGCAGCTTTAAATCCTAAATCTAAAATACTACATTTATGTACATTTTAAGTTGCCCAGATAAACATCTGCATGTTAAAGATTTGTTCACCACCTTCTCTTGAAGTTACCCAGTGAAGTTTGAAGATGATTAGGGTCACGCTAACCGCAGT